ATCAGCTAGTGAAAACCCTGCAGAGTTCCCCCGGGGGGGTCACCACAAGCAGTTGGCCCAACGGGAGATGGTGGTCGTACTATCACAGAGCCATAAAGGGACTAGGTCCCCCAGCGAGCAGGGGGCAGTCAGGACTCGGGCCCAGGCAGCGTGGCTCTAAGGCCCACGTGTTCTGACCCACTGTGCCCCCCTTTCTCCCATGCCAGCAGGACATGTTACCGCCGGTCAGCTCTCAGGAGCCCCAGCTCATGTGATGGCCTCCCTGTCGCAGGGCAGCATGTGTGGTGTCCGCGGGGTGGGCCAGCACCTTACAGCTTGCAGAGCACTTTCTCACCCTTGTTTACCAGGTGGAGCGAGTTGTTGTTGTTTTGTTTTTATGTGTAAGTTTATGTGCTTCAAATATGAGAGCACAAAGCCAGGCCAAGTGAAAGAAGCCAGAAGACCCTGTGTGACCCATTTGTGTGAAGTGACCGCTCAGACAAGTCCATGGAGATGAAAGAGGTGGCCCAGGGCTGGGAGGGGTGACGGGAAACGGGATGTCCCCCACAAGGGGGGACAGTGGTTGGGCCGTGATGGAAGTGTTGGCAGGTGCGGCCTGGACGTTGACGGTTGCACAAGCGTGTGGACGTCCAGAAAGTCACCACCCTGTCCCTTTAAATGTGTGGGCTGTGTGGTGTGTGGAGAGTATCTCCATGCAGCTGGTGGCAGGGATGCTCCAGGGCCAGGTGATGTTTTCGTGCTGTTGGACAAAAAGTCACCGTGAGTCAGAGATGACCCCTCAGCCCCGAACAACCACAGAACTGGTGAGGAGAAGCCGGGGCCCCTCCCAGGCCTCTGTCTGCCTGGTGCTCCAGCTGTGCGGTGCTTTTCATAAACCTGTTCCACGTTGGGAATACAGAGGTAGATAGAAGCCAATGTAGGTAGAGGCTGTGTCCCCCTCTCCTTCCCGCAGCCCCCCCAACTGAAACAGAGGAGAATAGATCCTGTTCTGCAGTTTGCTTTTTCACTTCCTGTGTCTCGACATCTTCCCCCTTCTGTAGAGAGCGCTTCCTCATTCTTTTTCTTTGTATTCTGTTTTGTGGACAGCCCTTTATTTGTTTAACCAATCCCTGCTGATGGCATTTGGGTTGTTTCCAGGCGTTTCTTCTTGCAGACAACAGCTCTACCCCATTTCACTCTGCCCCATGCACAGAGACAGGGTAAAAGCCAGAAGAGCTGGGGGGTCAGAGTGGTAATGCCAGGATCACCTTCCAGTCAGGAGAGTAAACTCCAGAAGAGCTGGGGGGTCAGAGTGGTAATGGTGAAGTGCCCTCAGGTATGGATGGTATCATTTACTGTGGTTTACATTTCCTCCGTCTGGGATGGGTGCCCCACAGCCATGATGGCAAAGTATGGCATCATATTTTGGGATGTTTGCCCATCTGATAGGTGAGAAATACTCTTTCAGTATAATTCTAATCTCATTTTATCTAACCGAACACTTGAACATCTTCTCACATAAGTAGCACATAGGATCACTGTAAAAGTTGGAATTGACAACACCAGTTTTGTTGTTTTGGGGGGTCTTTGGTCATTTATGTTAATAATTTTTTTATTTGGCGTAGGTCTTGTCAAGTCCTTTACCTTATTTTCCTGTTGTGTCTGGTTTTTTCCTTACTGATTTATGTTGCTCTGGTGGACTAGTCGGTAAGGATTTGGGCTGCCAGTCCCAAGGCATGCAGATCAAATCTCCTAGCTGCTCTGAGGTTAGGCAGTTTCTTGTGTGATTTACAGCCTCTGAGAACTCACTGGAGGGTCGGCTGTGAGTCAAGTGTGACTCAGCGGTGACGAGTTGGAGTGATGTTGTCCTCAGATGCTGTGGGGTTGGCTGCAGCTCGCAGCGACCCACGTACAGCAGAGCAGAAGCCGGCCTGGTCCTGTGCTGGCCTCCTGCAGTGCTTTTGAACCCCTGTTGCAGTCTCTGTTTCAGCCCATCTCTTTGAGGGTCTTCGCTGATCCCCTGCTGTTCCCAGCATGCTCTTTTCCAGGCCTGGCCCTCCTGATGACATGGCCAAAGTATGTGAGATGAAGTCCCGTCCCCCTTGTTTCTAAGGAGCTCTCTGGCCGCACTTCTAGGACAGATCTGTTTGTTCATGACCGTCCATGGCTCGTTCAGTACCCATCACATCTGCACAATTCAAAGCCGTTTTTTCATCTTCCCTATTCACAGCCACCCCTTGTAGTAGCAGCAGCGATCTTGCCTTGTAGTCTGCGGTGCGAATTGCAGCTGTTTTTCTCATGCATTTGTTTCTAGAGTTTGTCTTGTGGAAGGAACTTTAGAAGGGGCATCTTTTTGCTTTCAGCTTTGAAGTCCGGGAGAAAAAGCCTCACAGACCCCGGGGTTATAGGTAGGCTCTCGCTTCTTTTCTTCTAATATTCCATTGACTTTGTTCTTTGCCATCAAGTGGATAGAAGAGAGCAGAATTAAGATCCGGGCATGGCTTAAGGCATCCTGGTTCCTCGAACTCTAGCTGAAGGTGGAGGACACAGTCACCCTGGAGGCCTCTGAGTGTCCCTCCTCGGTCTGTTCCCTGACTTTCTCTCATGGAGGTAACCACTAGCTGACTTTTTCCCTCCAATTTCTTGCCAAAATACCCATTGCCATCAAGTTAGTTCCAGGTCATTGTGACGCTGGAGGACTGAACAGAACTGCTGGTAGATCCAGGCTGGGGCGGCGGCGAGCCTGGTCGTCTCTGTGGAGACAGACTGCCACGTCTCCCCGCCTGGGTTCCCATCAGCATCCAGACATTTAACCACTGTGCCACCAGGGCTCCTTGTGAAGCCCTCTTCTCGTGTCATCTGGGGCCCACTGTGTGCTGCCTGTCACATGTAGGTCTGCAGTGGGTCAGAGCCCGCCCGACAGCACCATCGAGGACTGCAGCCTGTTGTTTGGAGTCCTGGGCAATGCAAACCATTCGTTGTTGGACCGTCAGCTAAAAGGTCCGAGGTTCAGGACCACGCTGACATATTTTGCAAGAAAGCCCGGCAGTGTGCTTCTGAGAACTCGGTCATTGAAAGCTCTGCTCAGGTTTACCGACGTCAGCCGTCAGATCAGCCCCACAGCCACTGGCTTGTAGACGTTGTTTACTGTGTGGTTCTTTGGTGTTAAGATGCTGAGGATGTACTCTGCTCCCAGCTCCTGCTCCTCAGTGGTAATCAAATGCCTCTCACCTTGTTTATCCTGTAAGATAAAGGCGATGCGGGCCACATCCCTGTCCATTGATCAGGCCGGGACCTCAGTGAGCCTGTTGCATGCCACTCGGGCCCTCTCACCACTCACTGGCCAATCACATCATCCCACAGCTAGCTGCCAAATCACGCCCTTACGTAACTGCCGTTCATCGGCAGATCCTGATGCACTTCAGTCCAAGTGCGTGGTGCCTCCCACCCTTTTTCTTTAAACACATTGATACGTTTTCCTGATGCCCAGTGTGAAATGCAGTGTGGTTTCCAGATGGGAGCTAGTTGTTCCAAGGCCATTTATAGACTAGTCTCTTCCTTCCCCCCAGGCGCAGGTTTTATCAGTCCCTAAATCCTTCAGGTGACTGCCTCTGGACTTCCTGTACCGGCTTTATCGGTCCCTAAATCCTTCCTGTGCTGTTGGGTCCCAAGGAGAGACTCCCTGTCTCAGCCTGCGCCCCCTCCCAGCATATCTGTTATCCCAGCTGGGGAAATGGAGGCAAGGAGGGAGGAATAGTCTGACTCCAGGTTCCTTTGTGAATTCTTGAGCCAGGGTGTGGGCGCAGGCCAAGAGCTGGGTTTTGTGTAAAGGTATTTCCTTAATTCAGGCCTCCAGACTGACTACAGGCAACAAGAGGAGATAGAGATGCAGGCAGGTCCCTCCCCACCTAGCCTGAGGGTTAACTCTCTCCAGCCCACCTCCTACAAGCTGTGTGACCTTGGGCTTTAAACTTTCCCTGCCTGTCTGGGCAATTTGTGAATTAAGGCAGGGGAAAGGGAGGTGCCTTTCTCAGGATCACTTCTGTGTGGGCTGAATGGGCAAGTTATTGGGTCTACTAGACGTCATGGTGGCGGTGATTAGGTACCGGAGAGGCGGAACTGACCCTGCAGCGAGCTTTCAGAGGCAGGACATCTTATGAGAGAGCTCACCAGACCTGAAAATCCACTGAAGGGTCAGCTCTGAGTCAGTTCCGACTCAGTGCTACCTATATAACAAGAAGTTGTCCTGGAGGGGGCTCTGGTGGCTTAGTGGTTTGAATCCATTGGAGAAAAATGGGCAGTCTCCTCCATGCAATTAACAGGCCCTCAGAACTGCTGGAGGGTCCAGTTCCGACTCAGCGTTACATGGCAACCACAGTTGTCATGGATGTGATGTCAGTGTGTATCCTAAGGGCACCTGTGTTTGCTGACTTTTCCGTGCCTGATTTCTCAGTGGTCCACCAGGCCTCTCCCCCAGGGTGCCTCTGGGTGGGACTGACCCTGTCATCTTTAGGTTAACAGTCAAAACCCCAAAACCAAACCCATCACCAGCGAGTTGATTCGTTATGACCCCATCAGACAGAGTAGAGCTGCCCTGAAGGGTTTTCAAGCCTGAAATCATTGGTAGATGGCAGTATTTTTCTTCCACAGAGCAGCTAGTAGGTTTGAACCGTCAATCTTTTGTTTATCAGCCAAGTGCAGCAGAGCATGTTAATTGCTGCGCCCAGGGACTCTTGTTAGACCCTGTCCTGTGGCTCAGGGGAGTCCTGGGTATACAGCACCCTGTCTCCACTGTGTCCCTGGCCAACCCCACACTCTTCTCCCACATTCACACTCGTCTGAGGTGTCTCCCCTCCTTCCTTTTGCACTACTGCTGCTCCCGGACCCCCACCTCAACCAGCCCGCTGCCGTAATTTCCCCCTAGACAGGCGCTGGGTCAGCCCAGGCCTGTTGTCCAGCAGACCTAGAAACACTGGGGAGCTTGGCTAGCCCTGGTCTCTCACCTTTTCCCTCACCGGCAGGTGCCAACATTGCGTCAGGTGAAGAAGTGGCCATCAAGCTCGAATGTGTGAAGACGAAGCACCCCCAGCTACACATCGAGAGCAAGTTCTACAAGATGATGCAGGGGGGAGGTGAGGCTTGCTGGGGGCCTGGGGGATTGCAGAGGGGAGGGGATGGAGGGCTGTGCAGGGGAGGAGGCTAGATGACTTCAGGGGAGAGGGAGCTAGAGTACTGTGAGGTGGGGGAGCTGGAGGACGTGAGGTGGGGGAGCTGGAGGAC